AAGTTATGATTATTTACACCTAAAACATCGATGCTTATGGATTGCTGTGAAGTCTCTTGGTAAGGCCTAAAAACGAATCGTAGAAGAAATGCACCATCAGAACAGGTGCCATACCGACAGTGATGGGTCCAGAAACAAGCCCGACTCATTGTCACCCTACCCTCCTCGGCACCTGCCTTTCCTCCCACGGCTGCATCTCCCGCACCTCTGTACCCCATCCAGACACCCCTCCTCCCCCGAGAGGACTAAGATCTCCTCAGACCCCGACGGGGAAATGTTCCCAGCCCTTTCCCTTCCCAAGCGCAGAGTCAGCTCGCTCACCGCTGTGAAACCGCTGACAGTCCGTTCGATCGGACACCACCTACCTGTCCTCTCACCCAGGAGCTGTGCCTCCCAGCATGGCTCTCTGCTCTCCTGCTGAGACCGAACCTCATTCTGGAAACTGGGAGCATTTGGGGAGAGTCCTCACAGCTTTCCCAGCCCGCGAAGCGGTTGGCTCCAGCGGCAATGTCTCTCATACGTTTTCTAGCTCGAAGCTATTTAGCTGGTCTGGAACCTGCCCCAGGTCCCCTCAACTCCCCATTACTCCCGTCTCTGGTACTGACCTGCTCCGGTGGAGACGCCACCCAGGTCAGACGCGCCAGAGCGCTGTCCTGGCGAGGAGGAGGGCTTGAAGCTCTGGGCGGTGAGGCTCCTGGGAAGCCATCACAGGCCTGCTGGGCTGTGCCATGGCCCCACCCAGGGGGACAGGTGAACAGGCCATGTGGTCTGTGGGAGACCATCTTGTTAGTCGGCTCTGCTGTCTCGGGCCCCAGGGCGGGGTCTCTCTGCATACAGTGTCTGCTTTCCTCTAGATAATTGCTTACTCCATTCTTTGCTTATCATTTGTTCCACCTGGGGTATTTACTGGAATTTGCTTCAGGTGGGATACTCATTAACTGTTTCACCTGTTTTCCCCCTATATGTTATGTGAACTCCCCCTGAATAAACGAGACTTGATCAGAACCCTGTCTTGTCTCCATTTCTCGTGTCTCTTGTCCCTCCTCATCCTCACTCCCCCTCTAGAGTCCTCGTTGCTCGACCTGCGGGATGGGTCAGTGGTCCTCGCCACAGAGGGCAGAGCCCTTCAGGGACGTGCCAGGCTCCCAGTCCTCACAGTAGTCCCCCCATCTGAGGTGCACACATTGTGAATTGGGGGGCACTGTTGGAGTAGCAAAACCTCGCCCTGTCTGGAGGTGAGTCATCTCTTTGTCCTGCTCTCTGTGCTGTGTTCGCTTCCCACCTGTCAGTCAGGTCGCAGTCCTCTGGGTGATCAGAGGGACCCCACCAGTGTCTCCGCTTGTGTCCAAGTCACACTTGTGTCACTCAGTCATGGCCCCAAAGCGCCAGAGTAACACTGGCGACTCAGAGGACTACAGGGAGGCAGGAAGGTGCTCGCTGGGGCGGGAAGGTGAGCACAGTGCAGTGAGAAATTTGAGGAGAAAAACGAAGAACGTATTCACATAATGTCTATTACAGTATATTGTTAGAATCACTCTGCTCTGTTACTGTTGCCAGCCTCTCACGATGCCTAATCCACAAACTGTGCTGCAGGTGTGTGGATGCAGAAGGGAGACCCGTGTAGAGGTTTCAGACATCCACTGAGGTCATGGAACTTCTACACCGAGGATAAGGGGGCACAATTTTCCTGGCACACAGATCGCAAGAGGGCGGTGAGTTGGATAAATAAAGTTGTTGTGTTGGTCTCACCCTATTGATAGTGGTGCCAAGGGCTGGACATGCCCGGGCTCCGCAGGCGGCGGTGGACCCTGCCTGGGGCGACGGTGCGCTCGGACGCCCCTAGTGGTTCTCACTGTGATTGCAGGAAACAGCACCGCCAACACCACCAGGGAACCCGGAGGACCCTCACTCCTCACAGGTCCTGGAGGGCACACGGCCAGCAGTGAGGTCAGGGGGAGGAAGGGCACGAACTTGGGGCTCTGCCCTTATTATTATCCAAAGGAGGGGTTATCTAGGGTTAAACGGGTTCCCTGTTTATTGGCGAATTTAAAGCCTAAGAGTGGGAATGAGGGGGAGCAACGGGGCACTCCAGAGGTCAGTTGTACAGGCTCCCCAGGGCTTTCTAAGGGGACCCCGCGGTGGCCCCCTGCCTCGTCTGGGGGTTTCTAGCAGCCATGTTTGTGTTTCGAACTTGTGCCACCGAAGAGTTACTGCAGAGTGTGCGGCACAGACTGTGAACTGGGCAGCAATGCTTTCTTTATTTTCTTCATGTTCATTGACTTGAGAGGGAGGGTGAGAAACACAAATACGATTTGCTGTTCCACTTACTGATGGGTTGACTCGGGGCCGTGCCCTGACTGGATCAGACTTGCAACCTCGAAGTACTGCAACGACGCTCCAACCAGCTGAGCCACCCAGCCCCGGCTCCTTACCCTCTGTGGGCTGGGAAACGAGAGAAGTGGTTTTATTAGCCCACATGCCAATACCTGTAAGCTCTGAGGGAAGCATAAGGCAGGCTCGTTCCTTCTTACATGTGCTGCACCGCCAAGCTGTGAAAAACACGGCAAAGCACAGGCGTGTATTACTTCCGGGTTCCTTACTGTATGTTGGAAAGCTGAGGCAACCCCACAACACGTATTAAATAAGTGAGATTTTTGGAAAACTGTCTTCAGCAAACAACTTCATGTTTTGCCTCATACAAGAAGCTTATGTGCCAAATTTTCATTAAGTAAAACTCTTGGAAAATAATATATCACTTTAGGGAAAACTTTAAATGTACTAAAGAGACAGATTTAAATTTTTCCTAGGTATAGTCAAATACAATAAATGGTAAGTAATGAATGCATTATTCCAATTTCAACCAAGGAAGTTTTGTTTCTAAATTTGCCAAGGAATGATCTGTTCGACCATAAAATTGTCCCCAAAAAGCACTACCCTCCCAGCTCTCCTCAGCATCAAGGCTTCAACAGGGGATCTGATTTCTGCTCATTGACAGCTGAGTAAGAAACAGACAGCCCACAGTCACCTTCCAGTGCACGCTGATGCCAATTACAGTGAACTCTTCTGTTCTGGTGGTGGTTTCTGGGAGATTGAGAACTCTTCCCAAGATACTATTCTCTCCTGAAGTGACTGTTGTGAGGACGGGGGGTTGGTGGATGGACGATTTGTAACCTTGTGATGTGCATTCTCGCAACTGGGCCAGCGTAGGATTAAAGTGTGTGTGGACAGACAGGTTTGACTGATAGGCAGGAAGACCACCATGGGTGCATATGAATGCTTCGCTTGCATGTGTACAGATAAGGTTTGCATGACAAAGGCCGGAACACCACCTCGAGTGGACAATGAGTGGTAGGACTCAAGAGCATCTGGGTTTATTATTTCTTAGCATTAAAGTCTCTTTCTGTGATAAAAAACGAGAGACAAGGCTAGGCTGTATGGTTTGCAGAGACACCATCTCAAGGAAATAATTTACCTAAATTCACATGTAATTTGGGAAACAATTCTGCAAATAAATTTGGCTGCATCCAGAAATCTGGAGCATTTGCTCCCTTGCAATGCTCCCTCTCACTCCTACAAGCATGTGCTTATAGTTCATTGCGTTGTGCTGACCCCGGCAGGCCGAGACAGCAGACTCTATCTGTTGCTCCAAAATCAATACACTTCCAGACACACAGGACTTCGAGCACACACAGCACACGCCCCCTGCAGGACCCCGATTTCTGCTGTGTCTGTCCTGGGAGCATCCGGTAGGTTCTGAAGAACTCTGTCCAGAACATTCCTGCCCAACAATGGCTCCTTCAGCTCATACTCCACCCATCACTCAGAACCTCCACCTCAGGCTCACCTCCAGCCAAAAGGCTCAGTCAATGCCTGGGTCCTGGTCAATGCCCCTCCCTCAGAACCACAGGCAGCATCCGTCCCTCAGCCATGACAAAGTCCAGGGTTGATGCTCCCTGACATTTAGACCAGACAGGCTGTGGAACACAAAACTTGCTCCAGTTTCTATACCTCACCCTTCACATTAAAAACAGCAGAACCCGTTCAAAGGGCATTAGGTTCATTGTCTCCTCAGCAGATTCCTAAAAGCTTTGAAAAGCAAGTACTGTATGTCAACAAGGATGGCCTGACTAGGGACCTTTCCTTCAGGCTCTCCCCCTTTTGTGGGTGCTATATGCCCCTTTCCTACCAGAGACAGCAGTAACGGCACCCTGGTCGCTTCTCCTGCAATAAAAAACAGTGACCGCCTCCCCATAGCCCATTCTTCCTATGACTTACATCCTTCTGCACTCTGTATCATTCCAAGAATTGTGATCACCAAATTTTCCAGGTCCAGCCATGTCCACGAGGAATGTCCTTGTTCTTGAAGGCATCTCTACTCCACTCCTGAACTAGTTACCTGCCCTGCGGAGAGCCACCCTCCACTGGAAATGAGGAGGGAACTGTGCCTACGGGCAGCAGAACCCAGGTTGGGAGGAACCAACGGACACGTCTGTAATGAACGTGGCAGGACCTGCCGAGCGCAGCTCACCACAGGAGCCCTGGACTGGCACGGGGGCTGCAGAGTCCTGGCTAGTCCTTCTCACTGTTTTGTTGCTGAGGCAAGATGGCATTTTACACGACAAGAAAGGGCCCCGCTGTCTGAGCTGACACAGCAGCGACTGGATGGCAAGGAGCGCGCTCAGTGGCGCATAACGGAGGCAGCGCGGGTTTCTGAGTGAGCTCCCAGGGTGAGGCCCTGCTGCCTGCGTGGCTCATCAGCAGGGCGTGGACCTTAGTGACACCTGGGGCAGTTCCCCAGGAGATGAGGCACACAGGATCTTTCTAATTTTCTCTCCATCGTGTCCTGTGTACATTGTTTAAATGTTGCCTTTATGGTTTCTATAAAGGAGTTCATACGTGTAGACTATATGAAAGAAAACTTTTCTTGAAATATCAAAGCATAAGATTGCAACCAACTATGATTTTTATTTATTTCAGCTTATAAATTTAAAAATACTCAGATGAATTTGACAGAATGTCTTCACTCAGGGCGTCTATGGTCATGTTCCGCGCGTTAGTGCTAGGTGACAATGCACTTTCCAAACAGACCCCAACCTGTCCTACAGATGGTTCTACATGACCTGCTCACCTCCCGGAAAATGCGTGCGAACATCTTAGACATCTGGTAGCACACTGTTTATTGCAAGAGGGAAGAACATCTACTGTAGCAGAACACCACAGGCACCTACTCCTCCGTGTAATATTCCTCTCACTATATTGCAGCAACTCGCGAATCCTTAGTACGAGGAGAAATCACAAGAAAAATATCTACACTCTTGGGTTAAGAAGTTTGCTGAGATATGGGGACCTGAACTGTATGTACAGGATATAAACGGATTTACACCGGGTATGTACAGTTAATGGTTACCTATTCATTATAAATAGATTTAACTTAGGTTCTACAAAAATAATCATTCTGGATGGGCACATGCAAACCAGTACTCATAAACTTGCTTATAAAACAAATCTCTATGCTTTTTATTTGCTTTTAAATATAAATGTTGCTATTTAGCCGTCAGCCAATGATTCAATGCAAACCCCAAGCCCCCAGTGAAAAGTATAAAACCTGCTCCTGCGCACGGCAGCCCGTCACGTGCTCCTCACCTAGCAGTCCAATCGGGACAATTCTGTCGCACATGAGCTACAGGTACACATCCCATTTCCTCTAAATGTTTTGTTTTGTTTTGAATATTACAAATAGTGGATATATGTTAAGTATCATTTTGGCTCTTTCATTTTCATTCTCATAAAGAGGGACAAGCGAGGCCCCTCCCGCGCCGAAGCAGGTGGTCAGTGGTCTGCGGAGCCTTGGCCTTGGGTGGGCGGGGCAGGGGCTACGAAGGGCTCGTCTTGCTTCTGACCCTCCTTCACGTCGGTGTGGTCAGCAGCAGAGAACGACAGCTGGTCCTGCTCCACGATGGGCACCCGGTCCTCGTCCCGGTCCTTCTTCACGTAGAACAGCTTCCTGAACTTCTTCAGCTCGTGGAGTTCACAGAAGGTTTCCAGAACCACCAACATGGCAATAAGGCCAAGGAGCAGGTAACCTGTGTGAGAAGAAGGAGCGTCTCAGTAGGACCAGTCACAGACAACGCAAGTCAGAACAGGGCATGTCTGCTGGTGAATAATTTGTCACTTCTCCAATTTCGAGAAACACTTCGAATCCCACTGCTCAGAGAGGAACGCCCCAGAGGGAAACGGAGAGGGTTTCTACAAAATGGGACTGTTCAGAACCACATGGTGCAACTTCCGTTGTTGTCAGTCCTCCCCCGAGGATATTTTTCCGCTGATCTTTTAGACGGAGTGGAAGGGACGGAGGGAGACAGAGAGAGAGAGAGAGAGAGACAGACAGACAGACAGACATTGATGTAAGAGAGACACATCAACTGGTTGCCTCCTGCATGACCCCGGCCAGGGCAGGGACAGAACCTGCAACGCAGGCACATGCCCTTGACTGGGAATCGAACCCACAACCCTTTGGTCTGAAGGCTGACACTCCAACCACTGAGCCAAACTGGCTAGGGCTCACGGTGCAATTTTTGAGAAAAAAAAATATATTGGGGCTGATGTGGCATTGTTAGAGACAGAACACACTGCCCTGGCCGGTTTGGCTCAGCGGTTAGAGTGTCGACCTGCGGTCCAGAGACAAAACATACTGTATTCACCCAAAGCTGACCTTTGCAGAGGGGCTCTCCACCTCCAATGTACCGTCAGTGGCTCAAAAAAAGCCAGTGACATTTCAGAAGAGTTCTGATTTATCATGAGTGCTCACAACAGAGCAGGACACCTCTGAGTCATTCAGTACTTTCGTCATTACGTAGCACAGAATAAGACGTTCGCAATGGAAACTCCAGTCTAGCTAATGAATCCCTCCGGCACAGGCACAGCTGGTAGGCAGCTGTGGGCACCTAGTTCCACCAAGACCCTGCAGCGAACAAGCTGCACTCATTCTGTGACAGTGTTTTGTTTTCTTCCTGGCACACGGACCGTTCACTGAATAATTCTACCAGCTCCTTACTCCAAAATAAAAGACAACTGTTTGCGTCGGGCAAATTCCTTGGATCTGTGATGGGAAACAGGTCATTTTAAGTCAATTTCAACATGTTTAAAATCAGTTTCAGAAAAAAATTTCATCCTGGAAAGATACAGAAAAATGAAAATAAAATCTCTAAGAAGAACAAAATTCTCAGTGTCATGTTCCAGTGGTAAAATGTTTGAAGAGTTTCGGAAAATAAGTGAACCAGGAAAGCTGGGCTGCCAGCCTACTGGGACCAGGGAGGCTGATCACCTTAAGAATGTAAAGTAGCACAGTTCTAGTACGTTCGGAATTCGGCTGCTACGTCTGATAACATAGCGTCTTTTAGAAATAGCAAAGACATTGTTAATCACATGATTGGAAAGTCCTCCCCTTTTCCTTTACTCATTAGTCAAACTCTTGACAGGTGAGAAAATTATCCACGAGGTTTCAGACAAAAGCTGTGGGATATGACCCCATCCACACATAATATTCCCTCGGTCTGTTTGCTCCACCCAGCACATGCCACGTGTAAGAAATGCATGATTCACGTTGCAAATGTTCGGCAAGGATTCAGTATTATATGAGAAATTGAGGAAGTTAAACGGTTGGCCAAAGTTTATAAGAAGATAATTAACAGAAGAGAAAAATAGAGCTAACAAACATAATCACAGAAACATATTCAACTTCCCTAAGTCATGAAAAAATTAAATTAAGATCAGGAGGTAATATTTTGCCTAACATATGGATAGTGTTCATCTGTGCTACGGAATGTACAGCAAAGCACCTGCAATGCCACAGGCCCACCCACGCCAGGAGTGCCCAACTGTCCCTCGTAGACGGCTCTGGTGCCTGCACACTCGTGATGTCATTTGGAAAGCACTGGGTCAGTGCGTTCTGTCAGTCACCAAAGGACACATTCACTTTGAGCCAGAAATGCCACTTCTTGGAAAAATATCAAAGTAGAAAGAGTACACACATACACAAATATTTACTGCAGTTGTTTATAATGCCCCCAGGTCGGATGCAATGCAATCCTCGACAAGAGCACGGGTGGTTATGGCACAGACACCTGGCAAATATCTGGCCATTAAAAATAGTTATGGTGACTACAGGAAATATGAAATCTGCTTGTAACTACTTGTACATATTCACTGGACTTGTACGGTAGCCAGGCACTTTTCCAAGGTTTATGAGTGAAGTCTCCGTCCTGGGTGAGCCTGTGGCTGATGGAAGCACTAAAACACACATGGTTCTGTCAGGTCAAGGCTACCAGCCAGGCCAGAGCACCCGACTGCGGAGAGGGACCCAGAACCGGAAGACGCGGCCCGAGGGGGCTCTGAGCTTCCTGACCAGGCAGAAGTGAGACCACACGTACATCAGGATGTGGATCTAGTTTCCTCAGACTGGATTTCCACGTTCTCCATGACATCATGTTGCATTTTTAAAAACTATAAATCACTGGCCATCTGAAATGTAATGCCTATTTTCCACATATAAAATTCTGAAAATGGTTAATATAGTCTAACTTTCAAAAAAGAACCAGGTGGACAGTAAGATAAGCCACTGTTTTAAGATTTTTCTGGTCAATTAAAGAACATGTTTGATTTTGACAGGCTTCAAACCTAGTACTTGTTTGCTTGAGTTTAAAACATTTCATAAGATAGAGCAACTTTTTAAAATTAAAAGTTGATCATCAAATAAATTCTGTGTGGCACATTTCTACACTGTAATTTATAATGTCTACTATGAGTAAGAACCCATCAGTAGTTTTAAGGTGTCTGGGAAAAATAACTCTCGGAAGTAGTAAGCTTTCTGCATAGTGTTCTGAAGGGATCACAACCGCAGGACACCGCGATGGAGAAGCCAGACAGGCAGCAAAGAGAGCGCACCGGGTGCCTAGGAACCTGCTCACTCACACACCAGGTGCACCTGGAGCCGGCACTGCTCCCTCTCAGACCAGGTGCACCTGGAGCCGGCGCTGCTCCCTCTCAGACCAGGTGCACCTGGAGCCGGCGCTGCTCCCTCTCAGACCAGGTGCACCTGGAGCCGGCGCTGCTCCCTCTCAGACCAGGTGCACCTGGAGCCGGCGCTGCTCACTCACAGACCAGGTGCACCTGGAGCTGGCGCTGCTCACTCACAGACCAGGTGCACCTGGAGCCGGCGCTGCTCACTCACAGACCAGGTGCACCTGGAGCCGGCGCTGCTCACTCACAGACCAGGTGCACCTGGAGCCGGCGCTGCTCACTCACAGACCAGGTGCACCTGGAGCCGGCGCTGCTCACTCACAGACCAGGTGCACCTGGAGCCGGCGCTGCTCACTCACAGACCAGGTGCACCTGGAGCCGGCGCTGCTCACTCACAGACCAGGTGCACCTGGAGCCGGCGCTGCTCACTCTCAGACCAGGTGCACCTGGAGCCGGCGCTGCTCACTCACAGACCAGGTGCACCTGGAGCTGGCGCTGCTCACTCACAGACCAGGTGCACCTGGAGCTGGCGCTGCTCACTCACAGACCAGGTGCACTTGGAGCGCAGTGCAAAGCTGGCGCGGCAGCGCGCTACTCACACGTGATCCCGATCTTATAGAGCTCTCTGAACTTCTGGTTGTAGCCTTCCCCGGGAACATAGTCGCCCAGGCCGATGGTGCTCAGGGAAATGAAACAAAAGTAAAAGGACTCCAGGAAGTTCCAGTCGTCCTCCAGGATTGAGAACACGGCCGCCGGGATGAAGAAGAAGCAGGACACGGTGACGAACCCCAGGAGCACGGCGTGGACAATGGCCACCACCTGCTTGGAGAAGCCCCAGCGGATGTGGGCATACAGGACAGGCCTGCGGGTGACGTGGATGGTGACACGCTGGACCACGGCTGTCAGGAACAGGAGGGTGAAGGGGATGCCGATGATGGAGTAGATGATGCAGAAGGCCTTCCCCCCGTCGGACAAGGGCACCGTGTGGCCATAACCTTCAAGGAGAGAAGAGAAAAGAAAACACACTTTAAATAACTCATGTCTGTTGCCCACCTCTGTGCCCCTCAACCTAGAGAAGAGCCAGACTTCAGTCTGCACCTCAAAGACTCGCTGTAACTGTTACTGCAGTAAGTTCAACACTGGGTGCAGCACCGCTGGGAAGCCAGGGCTGCGTGAACCCCCCAGCTCTTCCCAACACATCAAATCGGTTCGGAGTCCAGTGCCAGGCTGAGCGAAGGCCCCACCAGGGAAACTCGTCACAGGTGCCCACCTCCCCGGGCTGGTGCACCCCCTGCCCTCCCACGCTGCCCTCCCAGGGTCCCTCCCTGTCAGTGTCCAAACACCAGTCCAACTCACATCCCAAACAGCCCCAGAGCAGGCTTTCACAGGACGGCCGAGGGACGAAGGTGTGGGTGGGACCAGGCTGCGGGGGCAGAGGGAGGGGCCGACTCGGTGGTGCAGACACCACTCGAGGAAGGAAGAGGAGACCACAGCACACCCGCTCACAGGACTGCGCATTTCTTTTCAAATATTTTGATCTATTATCTGGTTAAAGGGCACATTCAGAAATCATAAATATCATTTCTGTAGGTTCTAAGATGCCACCAATTCCACAGAACAAAGATAAACACCCATGTGTTGGGGCCAGGGGTCACAGCACCCCTGCATTTATTGCCCCAGGTCTGAGTGGCTGCAGTTCAAGCCGGTCCAAGGCCCGCCAGAGAGAAGCCGCCGACCTGGGCTCAGCAGCTTATTTTGAAAAATCTCAACAGCTCTTCATCCTGAGAGGACTAACATGTATGAACAAGTCAGTTCAGGAAAAGCCGCTAAATGAATTTTTTTCTGAAACTGGATTCTGAAAAACCTCATGTCGGTGATTGTAATTAAAAGTTGGTTTCAAAATCTGATTTCTAAATATATCCTGTTTGAGAGACGACTCGGAAAACCTTCAGCTTCCAGTCCCCAGATTCTCTGCGGCTGGGGTAAGGCCAGGTCACGGACACCTCCCAGGCTCCTCCTGTGCACAGGGATCGGGGGTGAAGTCTGAGTCCCATAAACACGTGGGCTACAAACACGCTCCGGGGGCCTGGGAGGCCTGTGCCCCTTGTACATCTAGACATGTGTGCGTTTTCCGTGCAGACTCCAGGGCTTAGATCTCAGGAGTGTCGAGACCTAGGGCTCTGAGCCTTGGTTCCTGACCTCATCTGGTCCTGGCAACACCCAGCTGCCCTCGGACCCCGTTCCGAGTTCCAGGTGGCTCTGAGGGCAGGGAGCACGTGGCAGGGCCCAGTGACTACAGTGACTATTATTATTCCGCCATGCCGGTGGTGGCAGCATGCCGGGTAATGTTTCCTCAACAAGAGGAAGCAGGAGAAAGTGGACTGTTTACTTTTGAGGAAATGGTGTGGCAGGCATGAGAGAAGCAGCAGCCATCACAGACCAGGCCACTCAGAGCCAGGATTTTAAAAGAATTTTTCTTCTTTATTGATGTTAGAGACAGTGGAAGGGAGAGGGAAAGAGAGATAGAAACACCGATGAGAGAGAACATCGATTGGCCGCCTCCTGCATGCTCCCCACTGGGGATCAGGCCCACAACCTGGGCATGTGCCCTGAGCAGAATTGAACCGGTGACCTCCTGGTGCAGGGTCGACGCTCAGCCTCTGAGCCACACCAGCGGGGTTATAAGGTTTTCTTTACAGCACTTTAATAAATGAGCTCTCCTGAGAGTATAGCACACCTATTTCACCCCGTCCGCCACTTCCCTATTATCTGTTCCAATAAATTACATGATTTCAGTTCTAGCAGAAAATAAACAAATTTCTAGTTTTAAAATATCTTTGGGTATGATTTTTACTCTCAAATGACAATCGCTGTTCTTATTCGAATGTTAACTAAATCTCCATTTACCTCAATGTTCTGTCCAAACGAGAGAATCACTACGAGACTCCAGGTTTCTCTGTGCTGTTATGCCAGCCTCACGTGCCCACCGGGAGACTGACCACCACTAATGTGCAGATCTTTCCGGCAAACCATTTCTTTTCCTGGTGCGCACCCAGTTTGTTCATGAAAACTAACGTGAACTTTACATCTCAGCTTGTCCTTGACTCTCGGCGCTGCCCCAGGGCAGCCTCCCCCGCAGCGGACTCGCTTCCTGCAGGACCAGCTCGGGGCTCAGGGACAGCCCAGGCCCACTGCTCGCAATGAAGGGAGGAGTCGCTTACTCGGGTTCGGTCCACGGAACCTCCAGATCAATCATAAAGCAGAGTTTATGTTTTAAAATTTTTTATTAATTAATTTTGTTTCAGATGTTTCTTTTTCCCCCACTGACATCCTCCTCCCATCCCGCCCCCACCCCACAGCACTGTTGTCTGTGTCCACTGTTTATGCACACATGCATATAAGTTCTCTGGTTTATCTCTTCCCTCCCCACACCCATCTCCTCTGAGCTTTGTCACTCTGAGCCCTACCTCTGTGTCTCTGGGTCTACAGCCGGCCCTCGTTCATCACGGCTGACCAGTTCCAGACTCTACCACAATAAATGAATTTCCGCGAAGTAGGATTCTTTATTTATAAATCGAATATTTTCTCAGAGCATAGAAAACCCATTTACGACCTTCTAAATACATTTTTTTTTACATTATTAGAGCCCTCTAGACATGAAATAACACCCTTTAGTCACCATTACACTCGTATTACCCAATCTATTAGACAAAATAAGAGAAAATAAGACATATTAGACATTACAAATATACATTTGTACATTTAATCACACACACACACACGCAGTTCTTACACACAACCACTAACCTATGAAAACAGCGCAACCTGTTCGATGATGAAGTGATGAAGATGAGAGACGTGCTGCACAGCAAAGAAGAGCAAGGTCGCTGCTCTGCAGGCCCGGCCTCGGCAGGAGTCTGCGGGTGGTGCAGTGTCTCCAGCAGGCGCGTGGCCGCCGTCTCCCGCGGAGGAGCAGGAGGAGCAGGAGGAGCAGGAGGAGCAGGAGGAGCAGGAGGAGCAGGAGGAGCAGGAGGAGCAGGAGGAGCACGAGGAGCAGGAGGAGCACGAGGAGCAGGAGGAGCAGGAGGAGCAGGAGGAGCACGAGGAGCAGGAGGAGCAGGAGGAGCAGGAGGAGCAGGAGGAGCAGGAGGAGCAGGAGGAGCACGAGGAGCAGGAGGAGCAGGAGGAGCAGGAGGAGCAGGAGGAGCACGAGGAGCAGGAGGAGCAGGAGGAGCAGGAGGAGCAGGAGGAGCAGGAGGAGCACGAGGAGCAGGAGGAGCACGAGGAGCAGGAGGAGCAGGAGGAGCACGAGGAGCAGGAGGAGCACGAGGAGCAGGAGGAGCAGGAGGAGCAGGAGGAGCACGAGGAGCAGGAGGAGCACGAGGAGCAGGAGGAGCACGAGGAGCAGGAGGAGCAGGCAGCGGGTGTCTGGGTGCGGCTGAAGAACACCGTGAGAGGCAGTCGCTGGCGCTGTCCTTTCATACGCGTGAGGCGGCTTCTGCAGGGTCCTGTCGCCCCATCGCGTGCATCCGGAACGCAGTGCTCGCGTCACTGTGGGGCCCATTCGCCAGTCGTGTCCTGTGCTACCTTAATGGTTCTCACGACTTGCGAGAGACGCTCACGTGTAAGGCCAGCTTCCTCCTCCTGACCCAGGACCCTCTGGCTGCTCTTCCTCCTCCTCACTCGCAGACTTAGTCATCGCCACCAGATCCTCATCAGTGAAGGGATCCGAATGTGTCTCCAGCAGCTCATCCACGTCATCGGGGTCATATCCATGAAAACTTCTCCTCCCAGCATCCGGGTTCGGCTAACTGCCTTATCCACTGCCGAGGGATCCTTGAAAATGAATGTCCGGGAAGGCGTTCTTTTCCAGAACAGTCCTGTTTCATCGATATTGAACACCTGTTCTGGGTGATACTCGCCCTCCTCGAGGATCTTCTGGAACATGTCGTTCACGCAGTCCTCTGCTGCAGGCTGGTCCGCACAGGCAGCTTCTCCGTGGAGAACGACACTCCAGATGATACCTCTTCTGGAACTTCTCGAACCAACCCTTGCTCCCCGTGAAATCCAACGTTGCAGAAGAGGGTCCTGGTTGAGGTCCGTCTGCTGTAAAGCGCTGATAGAGCTGCCTCGCCTTCTCCCGGGTGACCCGCGGACCCAACGGAGTGTTTTTCTCACGGTTGTCGCTGATCCACACGGCTAGGGCAGACTCTATTTTCACTATGAACTTATTACGACTTGTCACTATGTGCTTTGCTTCCTTGTTGAGACAGTAGCCGCTGCACGTATGTTCTTTTCATCCTTACGGATGGAGCGAACGGTAGACTCATTCAAGTAATGGTGGGCACCCTCCACGATTTTCTTGCCATCTTTGATCATATCCAAGAGTTTCACCTTCTCCTGGATGGTAAGCATCTTCCTCCAGCGCTTAGTTTCATCGTCAGAAGGCTTAGAAGCAGCAGCACATTTAGGAGCCATCGTGGGGCTTAGATAAAAGTTCTCAGAAATCGCAAACACTTACAAGAGCAAAGATACTTCCAATGCATAGGATGTAGAAGCGTGTGTGAGAGAAACAAACTTGCATGAGGCTGAGCCAATCAGTGGCCAGGATAGGAAGAGGATAGGATAGCCAATCAGTGACCAGCACACAACAATTGGCTTTGTTTCACCACACCCAATTTTTTGGAAAAAAGTTATTGCCCACACACAAGGGGTGGTCGAGCGGTTGCACCTGGCTTTGAAGGATTCCTGGGGTGCTCGAATACATAGGCCTACAGTCCATATGTACAGTAATTTTAATTTTAATCATCATACAGAGGTGTATAACGGACTCAGACAACCAAGCACGTGCTGTATCATTTTCACTGTCTTGATCAACTTTTTAATGAATATATTTGAAAAAAACAGGAAAGACTGAAACCGCAAAAGTTGAAGCGCAAAGCGGCAAGGGATGACTGTATTTTGCTTATCCGCTTATTTTATTCATTATATTCCA